TCAATAAATGCTGCTGGATACTGTAGTATTAACCACAGTGAACTGATAATCTTCAATACATAGTGTAGTATACTAAAGATTCTATTGACGTTTTTTATTATTACTATAGTTATTGTATTACCATAGCAACTTTAGATCTACAACTGTACCATACGCTTTAAAAACACTACACTGCCTGACAAAAGTCTTGTCGTCGATCTCAGCAGTAAGCCCAACAGATAATGACTTCTAGTTGATCATTTGGAAAAGTGGCAGAAGGCAGATTTTTCTGATGAATCATCGGTTGAACTGCATCACACTCCTCACAAATAATCAGAAGAACTATTGGAACCTGCTCGTACCTAAGATTCTCATAGAAATCAGTCAAGTTTGGTGAAGGAAAAATCATGGTTTGGGGTTACATTCAGTATCAGGGGTGTGCAAGAGATCTGCAGAGTGGATGGCAACATCAACAGTTTACATTACAAACCACAGGAGAGGGCAAATTCTTCCACAGGATAGCGCTCCTTCTCATACTTCAGCCTTCACATCAAAGTTCCTGAAAGCAAAGAATGTCAAGGTGCTCCAGAGTTGGCCAGCACAGTCACCAGACATGAACATTTTTGAGCATGAACTCTGGAAGTCCTGCAAGATGCTTTCTTTGCCATTCCAGATGACTTTATCAGTATGGATGCAGTTGTCCAAGCTGATGGGAGTCATACACAGTATGAATTATTTTCCCACTGCACCATGTCTTTATATTCCTTACTGTTCTTGATTTCTGTTAAATGACAAGACTTTTGTGTAAGCCTTACTGTCCTAATTAAATAGTTAAAAATCAAGGCAAGATCATATTTTATTTTGGTAAAATAAGCTTAATCTAGAGGCCTTTGCCCTACTTCAGATACCAAATAATCAACTAAGTCAAGTTAATAGACTTTTGTCAGGTAGGGTATTCTTATATTATTTATATCCTATAAATTACTGTAGCATTATTTTTATGGGTATAGTTGATTGGCTCAAATTGGGAGCCTTCAATCATGTAAGAGTTGAAGGAAACAGTATGGCTGGTTTTTACAAGCGTGGAATCACAGTGTACTTAGCGCCCATCTCAGTTTGATTGCAGAACTATATCTCACTGCGGCTGTTGGGTGTCATGTGAGCACGATCTGTGTCATGTTCAGGAGCCATGTGTTAATTATTGCCTGTCTCTACACTTTTCCATCCCTTTTTCTCTTCTGCCTTACTTTTCCTTACTTTTATCTGCTCCTTTTTTCACGTAGAAGATGGCCATAATTCTTTCTGATAGTTCTCATACATTCTAGTAAAGCATTTTTACATAAAAAATTTTAATTCTGTCATCCTTTATTCTTGTTTTTTTCTGGGTGTTTAATATTTTGTAAGTTAATGGGGTTTAAAGCCACTTTGGATCCCTCTGACTTTCAATTTAATGACTTTCATCTTTAATTTATACACCGTTCTGTCATTAAACTTTATTGGATGAGCAGACTGATAAGTTCTATCTATCATTCAACTACATGGCGAAGATAATTAATTGGTTGCTGATATGACTCCAACCAATAAGCTTGATCTTCAACATATAAATAGCTCAGTGTAGTTTGTGTTAGAAATCTACAGTGTGTTTTCAAATACCCTCCTCCACCCCAGGTCCACCTGTGTATAGATCTGCTACATGTGTGTTATGTTTGCAGAAGCAGTGTGTTATAATCTCAGATAGTATAGGCAGGAGCAAGTCCTCAGTACTAGCTCTGCACCATTAACCAGCAACAGCAGCAGCATAGCAGATCTATTCCACCAAGACCAAACATTGGCATGTTCCATGCTGTATTAAATCTCTCTGAGAGTTGTCATGACAGGATTTTTTTTTACTCTCTGGCATTAGAGTGATGCTGTGTATTTACTTTGAATAGCTGGTAAACTTTTTATATACACGTGAAAATTATTTTGCATGCTTCATTTTTTTTCTTGCTATTCATGTACTTAATTCCTAAAGAAAAATGGTTTCTTGTTATAAAATTTGGATTTATTTTTGTTGTAAAACATTTTGGATATGGCGTATGCTAAATTTGTGCTCATTAAATAAATTTGAAGTTAAAAAAACAAGACAATTCATAGTATTTATACAGTACATAAAAAATACTAGGATGACCTACTGATTTCATTGAGGTTCTGAAGTGTGCTTTGCTAGGCACTTTATCATCCCATGAGGCCACGGGAAGGCATTTGTGAATGATGCAAATGAGGCTCACCATATCTACTGTAATTTCAAGATGACAACACGCGATGTTCTGCTCAGAGCTGTTCACATCGCCGATATATCTATAACATTACATTTGAAGCTGCTGTCAGGCTGTGAAGCCAACAGAAGTGATTGAGCGGCCATTTTGCTATTCCTGTATGACAGAGAGAATTGTTGACTGACAGCCAAAACATTGACCTAAAAACCCCCATATTAGTATCTATAGCAACAACATATCTATTGAATGTAAATTAATTCTTACTTTTATCTGTCATTGTTGTGGTCTTTTTGGACAGGAGAAGCAAGCAATATATAAGATAATCATTAAGATGCATGTGTCTGCTGCTGACAATGGTTATGACCAAACACAATATATATTATGTGTATGTGTACATAAATATGCTGTACATAACCATATCTCAGTTTCTGAACTAAATACTGCATCACAAGCATCTGTTAAAATTTTAACTTAAAAATTTGCACTACTTTATTAAAATAAAAGTGTACTTGCATCTTTTATAATACTTATTCTCTATAAACTCAGTCATTAAGTCAGTCAGTTTTGTTTAGCTGAAGAATTTATAATGAGCGTATTTCATTTCATGACAGCAGGAAAAACCAGAAAGAAACACAAAATCAGTCGACTAAATAATGTTGCACCACACAAAATTGAGAAGAAACCTGACACTGAAAAGATGCATGTAAATGTGATGATTTATACGTATTTGACATTGTGATGAAATGTTAAATTTTACATTGTTGAAAAAGAAATAATTATTAAAAAATTTTATATTTATATATATATATATATATATATATATATATATATATATATATATATATATATATATATATATATATATATATATATATATATATATATATCATATTTGTATTTGTGTTTATATACTTAATACAAATACTTAATTTAATTCATGGAGCATATAATTTAATAAATATAATTCAATTATTCATATAAAGCATATAGTAAAATTAATATGACCGTATTAATTACATAAAAGTAACATCTGCACTGGACAAAATATAGCACAGCCTTATATGCTTAATTTGAAAAAGAAAAAATAATCATCCTAAAACATTAAATATTATAGAAAGCAAAAATGTAACTTTCTCAAACATCAACATATTGTTACAACACCAATTATTATTATTATTATTTTTATAAAGCAGACTGATTGTATTTCTTGAAATGTAATGCTTCAATTAATGATCTGCCAAATAGAACCTTATAAATCCAAGCAGAAAATGACTGTTTAGAATTAGGAGGATTCTATCTGCGTTTGCCCTGTTTATTTTACCCCAACTTGCAAATTGAAGAGATTTTTGATCATTTACATGTAGAGTGCATTTAGGGTCTCTGTCATGTTAATGAATGAAAGAGAACTGTTACACACATATTGTTTGCTGTATGGAATGCAAAAACTTTGAAGTTTAATATCTCAATCATTTAGAAAGCAGATAGAACCTTATAACTTCAAGGCGACGGTATGCCATCTACCTAGTGTGCCCAAATGGTCCTGTAGTTCATATGTAATATGCATGTGTATATTAGATGTCACAGTTTTCACAAAGTGAAGTTTATTTCTAAACTAATTTCGAGAGGATCACGTGCTTATGATTGCTTGTGCCTGGTCCCGCATTTTCCAATTTATGATTCACCAATCAGACAATTCCTAAGCCACTATAAATACCCTAAGTTCCATATAACAGCCATCTTCGTTTTAAAGAACTCTCCTTCCACCCCTACTCCACCTACTTTCCTAGATGGGTGGTACAGTGGCCCAGTGGTTAGCACTGTTGCCTCACAGCAAGAACGTCACTGGTTATAGTCCTTACCAAGCCAGCCGACGTTTCTGTGCGGAGTTTACATGTTCTTCCTGTGCTCACGTGGGTTTCCCCCGGCTTCCCTGGTTTCCTCCCACCATCCAAAAACATGCAACCTAAGTTAATTAACTAATCCAAATTGGCACCATAGACATGCTCATATTAGTAGTTATCTCTTCAGAGCAATCCCTATCTGTTCATTAGCTACTACAGCAAGGGAGTTCTCGAGATCTACCTGAGCTCAAACTCCACTCTCGCCTTCCAAATGGGAGGGAGCCCCGAGCTCAGGGCTTTCTACCGGGACAGCATGCCAAACAAGCTTTATAATCAATCATCTTCTAAGTGTGAACTCTAGAAGTTGCAGAAATTATGATAGTTTTGTTTACCATCACTCTGAATCCAGTTTTTAAATCATTTAATTTTCAGGCCCTTAAAATGTTGTTTATTTACATAAACATCCAAAAAACCTGTCAGTATGTACGTAATCTTTGAGTCTCAGACATCTCAGACACATCCAAATCAACAGTATACCAGCATCTGACACATACCTAAACAAACAAACACAGATGACTTAACTAACAAAAACAATGCAGTGCACAGTAAACAACGAGCTGATAATTTGCATAATATTTATTTATAGAAATCAACAGCTAGTGAAGTTACAGTGACGATGAGCATGAAACATTAAAGATAACTCTAAACTCTTTACACCGATTAATAGAATTGCAGAGAGAAATAATTTGAGGTGATAGAATAGTGCTAGGCTGGGATATAATTCAGTTCTTTTGAACATGCATCAGCCCCAAGGCCACAGCTCTGACAGATTTCTATTTTACACCAGAAAGAGAAAATAGTGTTTGTGAAATATTTTACTGCATGAAGTGGTCAATAAAATGAATCTCTCTCTGTCTTAAAGGTCGATTTGGAAGTGTTGGACCCACGGGGCCGGACTCCTTTGCACCTTGCAGTGACGCTGGGTCATTTAGAATGTGCCCGTTTGCTAGTTCAGCATGGAGCCGATGTCAGCAAAGAAAACAGAAACGGTTGGACAGGTAAAAATGCAAAACACTCTAGCTGCTTTGCAATTTGGGTAGGCCTGCATTAATTCTAGCCAATATTTTAAGCTGAAGGTTACTTACAGTAATAGCAATTGTCAAATTAGTTTTATTGGTAATCTAAAACTCATACTGTCCAGAGTGAAAAACCTTTCATTGAAGAGAGTGTTTAATTCAGTTTTAAATATACAAAACATATGGCAAAATCTTTAAAATATTATGTGTTACAGCAGCAGTGAAAATGCATTCAATTGTGATATTGATGATAGAATTTCTCTCACTGGATCATTTGAATCAATGAGAATTGTTAACTTTAGACTTGCTCTTTACTGATCAGTGGATTAGAGTTATTAACTGTAGACTCACTTTGAACTGATCAGTTGAATCATTGAATCGTAAACTGTAGACTCATTCTGAACTGATCATTTCAATCATTAACTTGAACTCACTCAAACTCTAATCTGATCATTTAAATCAGAGACATTAAGTGAAGACTTGCTCTGAACAAATCATTTGAATCTGTTTATTATTAGTTGTTAGATTCACTCTAAGATCATTTAAATTAAATCGAATTATTAACTGTAGACCTCCTCTTAAATGATCATTAAAATCAGAATCATTTGCTGTAGACTCACTCTAAACTGATCATTTGAATCATTAAATCATTAACTGTAGACTCGCTCTGAACAGATTATTCAAATCAGAAAGTCATTAACTGTAGATATGCTCTGAACAGATCATTTGAATCAGTTAATTTTTTACTGTTAGAGTCACTTGGATCAAAGCATTTGAATTAGTGAATCGTTAATTGTAGACTCGCTCTGATCAAATCATTTGAATCAGTGAATTGTTAACTGTAGACTCGCTCTGATCAAATCATTTGAATCAGTTAATCGTTAACTGTGGACTCACTCTGAACAATCATTTGAATAAAAAAAAATAAAATAAAAACAATCATTTGAATCAGTGAATCATTTGTAGACTCATTTGTAGATCAGTGAACTGTTAACTGTTATTCACTCGGGTCAAATCAGTTTAATCAGTGAATCATTAACTGTTAGACTGATCAAATCATTTGAATCAGCAAATCGTTAACTGTAAACTCACTCTTAACAAATCATTTGAATCAGTGAATCGTTAATGGTAGACTCACTCTGAACAAATAATTTGAATCATTGAGTCATTAACTGTAGACTCGCTGAACAAATCCTTTGAATCAGGGAATCATTAACTGTAGACTCACTTCGAACAAATTATTTGAATCAGTGAATCCAGGGCCTGGTTTTTTAAAAGGTTTAATTCGGATAAAATTGATCCGGATTTAGTAATGCTTTTTTCAATAGTTTCTGGATGCAGCCTTTATGATGCAAGCTGAGACTGCATCACTCAGCGATGCAATGTCAGACACAATGCACTAAAATGGAGCTAGTGACATCACTGTGACGGGTAGGGTTAGGATTGGGGTTAGGTGAGCCCATTAAAAAGCGTTGGATGCAGCCCAGATTGCACTGCACCAGGCCTGCAGCCAGACCCCTTTCCTTTTTTGCGTTTTGTGATCACGTAATCCAGCTTACTTTTTAAACCAGTTTTTCAAAACCAAGATTGGATTGTGTGATCTAATCCAATTATATAATCCATTTTTTCTTTTGAAAAATTCATTTTTGAGATTTTATCCAATCCTTTATCCAGCATCCTAGTGGATTACTTTTGAAAAACCGGGCCCAGTAGACTAATCAACAAATCATATGAATCAGTGAGTTGTTAACACATACAATCCTATCTGTTCAGATCACAAATGAATTGCTCAGCGTGATTTGTGAACCAATTTCATACATTGATAAGAATTAGATGATTTATGAACCTCTCATGTGTCAGAATGGGTGACAGTTTCTGCTGTTAAAAACAACATCATCGTGAAATGTAGTAAAGTGAAAGTCAAAGTTTCCTAAAATTAACACTAATTACAATAAAGCACTCCAATAAAGTACAAATATACTTAAACCCAGTAGTGAAGTAAAGTACTCTTCTATTGTCGAACAGATCATTAAACTTTACCTTGTGTCTCTCAGTGTTGCAGGAAGCCATCAGCACACGTAACCCAGAGCTGGTACGGCTGGCGCTGCGTTACCGTGACTACCAGCGTACCACTAAACGACTGGCAGGGATCCCGCGTCTGCTGGAGAGACTCCGACAGGTCAGCCCCAGATGCGCCTTAATAAACCCTGAACCTGCTAATGACAAAACAAACCAGCAGCTTAACAAACAGCATCTGAACAGCCACCTGCTGCCTGCACACCTGAGCCCTTCATTCCAGCAGATTCACACATACAGACACACAAACAAAGCTTTACGGGAAACTGCTGGCTTTATCTATGTGGTTTGTGAGATCTCTCTTTTTATGCCCTTTCCGCAGCAGTTTTCTTCAACCCCAGGCACCCCTGCAGCTCTTTTCCCTTTTGTTTGTGATGGATGTGCGAGCTCTCTGGTTCTCCCCGGTCCTCATCTCTCTAAGAGTTTTATTATTCATGTCTTTCCCTGCAGAGCGATCCGTCTCTTTCTTTCGCCCTCCCACTGTACGCTCACATTCACTCTAACCTTCTCTCTGCCTCCTGTCTTTCAGGCACAGGATTTTTACGTGGAGATGAAATGGGAGTTTACCAGTTGGGGTAGGTCTTATCTCTAGTAATGTGGCGTAAATGGTATGCTTAAAAAGCGCTGGCAATGCTAAAGGTCATGCTATTGAATTCTGATCAGATGTGTACCTTGAATGCAACATAAAGCCACAGTCACACGAAAATCCCTGTGGCCACTGCAATATGACGTCATACTTTGAGGCGTCTTTTTAAAAACATTATATATACTGAACGTGCCATACAGCTACGATGGTACTCTTTAAGGTAGGTCTGGGGTGGTTTTGCGGCACAATAGAAGTTTTTACATGGATATTTGTGTTTTTCCCCCCAATTTCTTGTACATATATTAGTAAGGGATAGGGCAACAGATTTGAAATGCACCAAGGGAAGTAAAAGAACTGCTTTGACATGAAGCAGAGATGTAAAGTGCATTTAAAATCCTTTAACGCATGGCAAGCTGTTGATTATCTGTCTTATTCTATGGTCATTTGCAAAGATGTAGCCACATTAAAACAAGTACTGCTCTATGCAGCACAATGTTTGACTGAATACGACATAAATCTCTCCACTTTGAATCAGAGACAGGCAGACAGAGTGAGAGAAAGAGAAAGACTATGCAGGTTAATGGCATGGGCATATCTAATAGCTCATAGTAACATGTGATAGCTATCACTTCGCAAATATTTTTAAGCACATTTGTGAGTTTACTGATCGACCATTGGCTACCTGGTGCAGCACACATCAGTGTCCTCCAGTTTACACAGGTGTCGGAAACTGTCGCTGAATTACTATTGGAGTTTGTAAGTGTTAAACTTCACTCTCCTCAAGAGCTGCATTAGTGACTGATGAGTCTTTATTAGTCAATCTTTATTAGTATGCCTATATTTATTCCTGAAATGCCAGTTTGAATCCCAATCAAAGTGGGCAGGAGTATACACTGATTCTTCCAGTATTTCTTTCAGTGTTTCACCTCAGTTTTGACAAAACACTGTATTCAGAGAGCTGAAAAACCTCGCTTTCACTAAACGTTTAGTCACTGAATTTGTACCTCTGGGTGCAACAGAATGCAATAACATCGTGACTAAAAGTTTGCTAAAGCACCAAGATGGTATTTAAAATGGATCACTAGGAATGGCCTTGTATTTGGCAAAAGGGAAGGCCTTTTTTATCTGCTGCCTCAGGTAGCACTGATTAAATTTTGTTTTCACCTACTGCAAATACAGAAAAGGCCCTGATGTATCAGTTAACTATTGGTCAAACATCTTCAGATGATAAAAATTTGCAGGGAGGAGTTCACTATTGTTTTATTTTGGATTGAAGTAAGGCAATCTTTGCCAAAATTAGCTAAATGCAAATTTTGACTTTATCAACACACACTGCGTAGCCATGTGACAATCTGTGTTAAAAATGTTTCTTTTGTATACAAGGTCACACATGGTTTGATGTTGTGATGGGAGTCTCACACATTTTCATAGTGGCTCCCTGATGCCCACAAATTAGATACAATATCTCTGAAAAAATGGAGGCAATAGAGAATAAGCATTAGATGGTGGGTGCCTCCCTGAAATTAGTTTTTACAAAGTGATATGTCTGTTTTTCCACAAATAAACGAGATCTGATGTTTGTATAAGGGCTGGTCTGTGTACCATTTTTAAAGCTTCAAAGCTTCGGTAGTAATCAACAAAATATATTCAAAGGGGGGAGGGGCTGAATATATTCTTCTAGGTGTTGTCTGACTGATTTTTTTAAAACCGATACTGCATTTTTATTATATTGAGGGTGTGTTGCTGTGGAGCCAAGGTGGTGCACTGTCACATTTTGATGGAATATGGCCAAATGACAAGTTTAGATTTAATAAATTTTTAATATACATAACATTAAGAGCCGACAGCAGTGCACCTCATGCAAACAGGGTTTATATGCTTTGAGAACGAACATTGTTTTAGTGATACAAAACACACAGGTCATGATATTCAAATTTCTAAATTGAAAACGGATGCCAACCGACCGAAAGAATTAATATATGTATGTATAATAGAATTATTAATATATTGTATATATATAACTGATATATTGCAAATGCAAATATTCTCTCTAATACAGTAATTTCATTGGCTGTTGTTCTTTTTGTTCTGTGTTAACTGTGTGTTAACACAAACAAATTCCATTCCTTTGAAATAAAGACTTGTGGCCACAATTGTCAGAAATTAGCATGAGTCAGAATTTTCCCTCTCATATATGGTTTTGCAGGAATAACAATCAATGAAACGAAGTGAAATGTAATACTCTGGATAGATGTGTGCATTACAAACACTAAGTAAATATTTGGACAAGGCCTTCCTTTTCCACATCCTCATGTCCTGCTATTGTTGACCTCTCTGTTTTTAGTTCCTCTGGTGTCACGCATCTGTCCGAGTGACACATATCGAGTGTGGAAGAGCGGCCAGTGCCTGCGGGTGGACACAACACTCATGGGATTTGAGCAAATGACCTGGCAAAGAGGCAATCGCAGCTTCATATTCAGGGGTCAAGGTGCGTTCAATAGCCCAGATGGCTTTATTTTCTGCCTTCACAAGCCTTTATTTTTTTTCTCTCTCCCTGTTACCTTTAAATCCAATTTGGATTTGATCTCCACTTTTGTTGTTGATGCCACCTCTCGGCTTGGTGTTCTTTCAAACAAGCCATCATTGGCATAGAAACAACCCTGAGTCTCACTTCGCCACAGTCTCTAATTGGCTCTCTCTCTCTCCACCTGTCATTCAGACTCCAATGCCATGGTAATGGAGGTGGATCATGACAGACAGCTGGTGTTTTGCGAGACGCTGCCGTGCATCTCTTCCTCTCCCAGCTCGCCCTCCCCCAAATCCTGCACAACCTCTTTGAACCTTTTAGGGGCGCTGCAGCCTAGCGATGAACAGGTAGCGGCCCGTCTATCTGCACCAGTAGTGGCCACTCAGCTGGACACTAAGAACATCTCCTTTGAGAGGTGAGCACATAACAATCAATTAAGTGGGCAATTCAAATGTTGAACAACACAGGTGTCAAAACCATTTATTGTGGCTTTACAGTAAATCCAAAAGTGCGAGCAAGCATTTTTGGGGTAAACTTAATCATGTGTGATATTGGATTCACCCCTGTTTGCATGGTGGCCACCTGGTACAGTCTTAAAAATGTTGGCTTGCTGTAACCCAAGGTTGGGTCTAATATGGACAATGCGTTCACACTTTAAAATGTCTCATTAGTTAATGTTAGCTAATATATTTACTAACAAGTATGAACAGTACTTGCAAATCATTAATAATCATAGTTTAACATTTAATAATCCATTAGTAACATCCAAGTTCATGCTTGGTATTAGTTAATGCACTGTGAGTTGACATGAACTAACAATGAACAACTGTATTTCCATTAACTGAAGCTAACTAACATGAACAAATACTGTAATAAATGTATTGTTCATTTTGTGTTCATGTTAGTAATTGAAGTATCTAACAAATAACTAATACAACCTTATTGTAAAGTGTTACCGACAATGCCAACCATTGAGTTAATGGTCAATATTAATAGTTAATAATAGTCATTTAAAATGAATTGGAAAAAAAAACACAATATTGAGATAGTTCATATTTGACTCAACCTTGGGTAACTTACAACAACCCAGCATTTTATAGAGTGTAACATGTCCGGATGTCTCTACAGGAATAAAACAGGAATTCTTGGCTGGAGGAGTGAGAAAACAGAGGTGGTGAATGGCTATGAATCAAAGGTAAGGCTTTTGTTCCAATAAAACATATACATTGGGGTCCAATAGTTTGACAGTGTATGTCTGACAGTGATGAAAATTTGGTCTCACATTTTGTGCTGATAACATCAAATCTCAGCTGCCTGATGGATCTATATTAGCACTTTTATGTACAATTGCACATATGCAGTTGAGGACACAAATGCTAGCCCTTCTGTTATAATTAATTTATTTTTAAAATATTTTCTTAGTGCTGCTAAACAGAGATATTTGTTGAGAATTTTTAAACAGAATAATTTTAATAACTAATTTCTAATAACTAATATATTTTGTCATTGCTATGATGACAATCTATTTTGCAAGATATTATTCAGCTTAAAGTGCCATTTAAAGGCTTTGGCTAATTAAATAAGCAGCTTAGGTTAATTAGGCAAGGGCAACAGTGTTGTTCTGTTGCCATTTGAAAAAAAAAAAGACTTTAGCAGATTTTACATATTTATGATTTCTTTTTTCCTGCCAAACTAAAAGGAATATTACTTTCTCTTTAAGAAAAAGAAATACTTAGAAAAAAATATAATTGATCTGTTAAATATTACTTGGGAAATGTTTGAAAATGAAATAATATTTCACAGGAGGGCTAATAACTTAGTCTTCGGTTTTAGTATGTCTAACTTTATCCACAAATACTGTATGGGTCAAGGATGAAAAGGGGTCATACATTCTTACCATGAATTGTCATTCGGTCTAACAATACCTTATTTACCAAAAATGGTGTCAGTTTTGAACAAAAATCATTTTCTTGCAAGACATTTTTATTCTTTTAAAAAATAATCAAATTTAGAAATAACTTAGTATTTTTTATTGATTGCAGGGATCCGTTCTTCTTACCTGGCTTAAATTATCTAAGATGATTAGAAGATCCTGGATCTTTTAATCTTGATAACTGATCTCTGGTCAATTCAACCAAGGCTGGAATCAGATTAAAATATCTGGATAAACTGATCTGAGATCGTTGCGTGTGTTGTGAAGGACAGATCTATTGATCCTCGAAATCAGGATCAGCAATGCAATGATTGGCTGAGGGTGCAGCAGCATATTGACATCACCTGATTAATATTCAATTATCCATGTGAGCAAAATTACATCAAATATGATGCACAATAACTTTACACCTTTGTTGTGGGCTGCAGACACTTTCATGTGTTGAGAGTATTTAGAAATTTATTATGTTTTACATTTAGAGCGGATTTTCTTTATTATAGTAGTCTAGGCCTATTCAAGCTTCTTAATTGGCATAAGGAATAACATGCTGTATAAATCAGATCATTGTCATATTAGTTGTCAAAACATGTGCAAGACTGCATAAATTATTATTCCTTTAAAAAAGTGGGATAATGTACATGTTTACTATAATACACAAATTGTACTAAAGCTGGTGCTTTAAAATAGTACACGTTTGTATTTATCAATATTAATTAATTAATTAATTAATAAATGTCTATATTAATAAATGTTCTAATTTGATCCCTTTAAAGAGAATCACCCCATGACATTATTACTTTTGTTTAGATGTGCAGATTGCATAAGTTTTATTTATATATTTTTAAACTTATATAAACTTATATATATATATATGTATATATTACTGTAATATTATATATAATTAATACTGTAAGAAAATATCAGAATTTGGTACATACTTTCAGCATTACCTTTGCTTGAATGACCCGATCTAATCCTAACTATCAAAACTGTTGCTACGATAACAACTCTCGGATGAGCTTTAAAGAACGAAAAAATCCTGAATCGTGTCAAATCGTCGATAACCAAATCCAGCTAATAGAGTATTCCATGTACAAAGAACGGACCCCAGGTATAGAATAAGTGTTTTATTTTGACATAAATGTTACACAGAATGACAATAGAAATGTATTTTATCCATATTTTGACATTTTATTTTTGCAAAAGTTGTAATTTTTTAATGTGATTAGATGCAGACACCAATATCTTGCCTCTGACCCACATACAATCGTATATTTGGTTGGTTAAGCTATTAAAAACATCAGGATCATCATTTTCTGTAAAGCTGCTCTGAAACTGTTAATGATGAAAAGAGCTATACACTTAAACTTGCCTTGTTTTGCATATGTATGGACAAGCATGGAACAATTCAATTAAAAACAAATGAATTTATAAGCAAGATGTATTGATGCATGACGACAGAAATTAAACACCTCAGTTGATAAACCTTCTCCAAGCTGAATATCTTTATGTATCTTGACAGTTATCCATGGCTATAATTGGAAGCCTTTTAAATTGTGCGCTAATTAGCTGGCAAATTGACAAATCCAGCTACGGGTGAAGGCTTGGCTCATGAATATTAATTAAGGTACTTGACTGGACACTTCTGGAAGGTTACCAAGCAACATCTCTGTGACCCAATTAATATTCATACACTTATGCCTTGATTCGCTTAGTGTTACACAGTAGCAAACTTTCACACACTTTCATCCGTTGACCTGATTAGTAAAGATCCGGTTGCTGTGAAGCAGCATGCAGTGGCGACACGACAAAACCAGACTGCTTCAAATTATATAAAGCTTGTGAACTAAACTTATATTTTCTTGTTTGTCTTTGCTTTAGGTTTACTGTGCCTCTAATGTTGAACTGATCACACGAACGCGTACCGACCATCTTACAGACCAGCACAAAACAAAACCCAAAGGTACAACATTGTGGAGGGATAAATGTAGGGTTGTAGCACTTAAATGGGGGTATGGAATATATTTTGTATAAATAAAACGGTATTTTAATAGAAATGTTCAGTTGAACTTAAAGAAATTGTACAGTAGAACATTACAGTACTTGCCAAAGTAATACATTTCATGAGCATTTTGATAGAATAACTTTAACTGATAAAGTTATTAGTAATTAGTTATTAATTACTAATAAATTACTATTGGTAAAAAGTTATTAATAACTAATAAAGTTATAGTAACTAATAACCTTGACTCTTCTGATTTTTATTGTAATGCGATAATGTGCACCTTCTGAAAAGCTGCTTTGAGGCAATAATTATTGTGAAAAGCGATATACAAATATACTTGGATTAAATTTGACTAAAAGCAGAGTCAAGAAAGGTCAAAAGAGAAAAATAGTGTGTAACAGAGGCCAGCTAGGGGCCTTGATCTTCAGCCTCCTTGTTAGAGCAACCGACTCCCATAGTAGGACCAGTAGGGTTACAATTGGGGGTTTGTCTGGGATGGTAGAGGGGTTTAGGGGGCTGAGTGTAACAAAGGCCAGCTAGCGAAGTGCTGTGCAAGTAAACCTCACTCCTCTGACATCAAAAGGAGCTCTAGCGACAGACGTTAGGGGCCATGGTCTTTAGCCTCCTTGTTAGAGCAACCGACTCCCATTCTAAGAATTGCCGGTTTGATCCCAGCATAAACCGGGCTGGGTGCAGTATTACAGGTGGGTTACAATCGGGGGCTCGTCTAGGATGGGAGTGAGGTTTAGGGGGCTGAGTGTAACAGAGGCCAGCTAGGGAAGTGCTGTGCACGTAAAACTCACTCCTCTGACATCAAAAGGAGCTCTAGCAGCAGACGTTAGGGGCCATGGTCTTTAGCCTCCTTGTTAGAGCAACCAACTCCCATACAAATAATCACCAGTTCGATCCCAGCTCAGACCGGTTTGGGTGCAGTAGGACCGGTGGGTTACACTTGGAATAGTAAGACCATGGCGCTTAGCTTCTGTCACTACTAGAGCACCTTTTAAGGTTAGAGGAATGAGGTTTACCTGTACAGCACTTCACTAGCTGGCCTCTGTTATAGGTGTTGATAAAAATAAAGCAGATTTCATAAAACTCTATGAGTGTTTTTTTAAGCAACAATTTATCATACTTAAAGGATTACTGAAGAATCGCATCTCTGAAAACGAGTATGATACTGAAAATTCTGCTTTGTCATCACATTGCTAAATCACAACATTGCTACATCACACAGTGCTAAATATTTTACTCACTTTTTGTTTAATGCAGCATTGGTGAACAAAAGCATTAAAATGAAGATTTAGAACAAAATACAGATTAAAAACTTTTTACGAAGCGCAAATGCTGTTGATTGATTGATTTTCCTCAGCATAACACAGTGGCCGTGTGCATTGTGGGGCATGCCATAGTGAATATGATGATGATTCATTATTTCAACGCCCACTCAGATTATTCCCAAACAAGCAGTGTCTTTGTCTGATCTATCGTTACTGTGATGTAACACAGATACTTGGGATTCTGCTAGTCCTCTGTAATCTGACCTGCTGTGTGTTGTGTTTTTGTCACAGGCGGCAAGACACCTCTGCAATCCTTCCTGGGTATCGCTGAACAGCACATGGGGCCTAACAATGGCGTGAGTCTAACAATGGGAGCCCACCAAGATTTTCATTGATTTATTATCAAGACTTCTGAAGTGCCTTTCTGGTTTTATGTCACTTCTGTAGCCTCAAAGTGATGTGTGTGTGTTTTACAGCACACTATGGTGACTCAGATATCATGCCCCACAACGAACCCTCTGGCCGTGACGGCTGACGAGTACTTTAATCCCACCATGAGTCAGAGAGACATCGGCCAGCCCTGTTACCTCACCACCAAAACACAAAGGTAGCGCTTCAGTCCAACGCTGCTTTCATTCTCATGTTGAAACACATTGTAAATTACTCAGAATGGTTGCTATGGTGTTCTGAGTGGCTTATTTCTAGTGGTGGGCAAAGCGAGCCTTCATGAAACACTGAAACAGTCGCAATCAAATGTGTCGAAGATTCGAAACGTTTCGAAACCATGTCTACAGTGACGCCTAGTAATCATTTTTATGTATTGCTCTGGAACAGCTTCAGCGAAGAAACAGTTTCAAATTAAGGAATATAACCCCACATTGTAGAGTTGACTTTTCAAGTGATTTAGTGAAGCGATGAGAGTTCCAGACTAGCATAGATTCGAATGCAGGCAGGGTGATGCAGCTACAGATGTTAGTTTTTAAATGCTCTGTTCTTGTAATGTGTTTTGTTTTACCATTGGTGTGACACCCAAATGAACAGTTTGTGAATAAATTTGTCTCGTTTTGGTCATAAAATGTAACATTATTAAAATACATCGTCACAATTTAAGGCCCCATTTACAAGAATACATTTTTGTTTTAAAACACATAAGTTTTGCTATGGTTATGACTTCCTTTTAGGTTCCATTAGGTTTACGAGTGCTGAAATCAGAGTGTTTTGAAAGCGCTGAAGAGGCCGTTTTCATATTGAGACATTGTTGCTGCGTGTCAGTTTGAATTGGGGAAAATGGAGACATCTGAAATCGGAGGTGTGGCTGCTGATTGGGGCTTTTTCCTCAAAGTTCAGTCAGTCTTGCCTCCTTTCCTTAACTTCAGACTTCGCAAGTTTGATATGGAAAACAAAATCCTAAGGACATGTCGAGTAAATCTTCTAAGGGCACTGTGGCCTTTATAGCTTCATTCACACCACCCTGGCTACTGTTTCACTTTCTTAACAATAAATTAAAAACATGATATAAGGAACTGCCTATTTTCATTATGCTATTAACTTAGACATTAAAATGTTGTGGCATCATGTGGCTACATATTTATATGACCGTCATTTTCACTGTGTGCATATGCATAACAAAACGGAGCCTATAACATATTTGCCTCCTTTCATTTTCTTCATTCTGAATATCAGTTTTAATAATGGCCATTTTAAAAGTATAACGTATAACGTGTGTGTGTGGTCACGTGATGTGCATTTTCAGCAGTATAGTGTGGACGGAGAGCTGTTCAGAAATGTTAGGTGAAACACCAGTGTGGACATGGATTGTTTTCATTCTAAAACGTCATTTTAAAACGAAAACGTATTAGTGTACAGAGGGCCTAAGAGTAGTTGTACAAGTTGGGATTCAAACTTGGGCCATTTGCAGCACAGTCCACTAGGCTACATGAGATACAAGTTTTTTCTGACCCTGTCAATTAAACACAAATTTGCGAGGCCTCGAAACGCTTCTAAAATGACCGATGCTTTGAACCGCTTTAGTCAAAGGACTTGGGTCTTTTGAATCACCTTAGTCACGTGACCTGACTGGTTCGGATCATGCTTTCGTGCAGTGTTTCGAAACACTGGCACTTCAGGATCTCGACACTTTGTCGAAACATCAGTTTCACGTCAGCCATCCCTACTTATTTCTTTCTCTTGTTTAAAATAAAAAATGGTCTGTTACTTTAAATGTTCACATTCTTTGACAGTCAATCATAAGCCATCGTGGATTTCATGTTTTTAGTTGCTCATCAACTGGGGAAAAATATTTAAAAAATGATTTCAATGATATTGTTCATCTGTGTCATTATCATGAATGATTTTTAAAACAGCTTTATTGTTAAAGGGAAAGTGAAAATGTCTGTTTTATGTCATTTGCTCTCTCTTCAGCTGTTCTAAACCAGTTTGAGTTTTTTTCTTCTGTTGAACACAAAACAAGGTATTATGAAGAATGTTGGAAATCTGTAACCATTGCCTTCCAGTGTTTGTTTTTCCTAATATAGATGTCAATAGTTACAGTTTCCAACATTCTTCAAATACCTTTTTTTTGTGCTCAACCGATAAAATGTGCACGCAAGAGAGACCGAATTGGTGCACGAGAGACACTAAATGGGTGCGAGGTAGGCCGGGTGCAGGCGAGAGAGACCTTACTTTTCTTAAGTTCTAAATTTATTTTTATTAAAGGGCCAATAACTATAACAAAAAGCATGACAGTACTGATGTGGCCGTAGGTATATCGTACATGAACCGTTATAATCCAAAAGCATCAAAAGCTTGAAGAAATTTCGTAAAAAATTAGAAACTTAAAAATCAAAAGCTAGTTAAAAAAAGTGGAAACACTATAATCGAACATCACTGATTGATGTGTCATACAAAACTCTCAAGTCTGTATGAGGTCACACAAGCTTCTCGTATGTGTTTTGTTTTTCCAGGTTCAAAGCTAAGCTGTGGTTGTGTGAATCGCACCCTCTGTCTCTGGAGGAGCAGGTGGCTCCTATCATTGACCTCATGGCCATCTCCAACACTCTGTTCGCTAAGCTTAGAGACTTTATCACCTTACGCCTGCCTCCGGGCTTCCCTGTCAAGATAGGTAAGTTTTGGGAAAGGTGGCTCCACAGTATTATTACTAGGTAGTATTATAAACAGGATGCACAATGTTGTCAGAGCATTCAATTAATCAGCCGATAATTGCTTGAAATGTAATCATCGGCATCAGCCAGACATGGAAAATTATGCTGATATGCCTTGCTGATAAGATGATGTGTTAATTATGAGAATGTAACAACTCGCCGGTCTGCCAGGAGTGCTAGCTGTAAGATTAGAAAAGCAGTCGGTAGTGAATTCGTGAAGTGAATATTTGCCTCAATGTGGATTTAACTGTCAAAAAGGAGACTCGCATGTTCTGTCATATGGCCAGTCAAACATATCTTTATTTAGTATCTGCTCTGTTATTTTTTTGTTCATTACAAATGTTTTGCATAGCAAGAAAGTCGCTAGTTCGGGATTCTGTGTGGGGTTTGCATGTTCTCTGTGCGTTTAGTCCTTATTTGAGTAGAAAAAAAAACACAACATCTACATAGACCACAGTCAGTGCAAACCTCTCATCTGTATCTTTATGTTTTACCAGCACATGCAACCATTTGTTAGAAAGTAATTTCGTCATCTTGAGATCATATTAGTCCAAAAGGTAATGATATTAGTTTGTTCATGGTTTAGGTTGCTGAAAGAACTATATGCTGCTTTGTTTTTTCGCGCTTCACTCTCACGTTTGTTCGTTTCTAAAAGAACCGGATATCAGCCGCACTTTAATAAATATGCGCACTTTATAATCATCAGCTCAAGAAATGTATTATTTCAAATATAGACGCGCATGCGAGCTCTCTGGAGAAAGTGAAACCGCTCACACTTTTATAAGGCCTTGCAAAACAAAAACAGGACATGGCAGATATTGTTCTTCTTGGCTTTGTGGCTGTTCATCAAGACAATGACAAGGTTTGTTTGAGCTCGGGTCGACCATGGCTCGGTATTATATGCATATATTATTACTATGTAATGTCTTGGCTGTGTTTTTAAAAATGCTGGTTTCTTTGTTTTCATTCTCCTGGCTTGTGTACACTAGTGGCGTCTCTTTGTAAACCAATAGGGTTCAGCTGCGCGTCTAGGTCCACCTTTTGGTACTCTTTTGTTGCGCTAGGTACCCAAAAAGTGGTAGGGTCAGGTTCGCTTTTAGGTACCTTTTGACAGTGAAAATGGCCATAAAAGTGTACCGAACCGTACCACTCAGTGGAAATGGGCAATAAGTGAATTGGGTGTTTCCCAGTACTGGGTAATTGCTGGAAGGGCATCCGCTGAGCAAAATATGCCGGACACCAAAGGGTTAGTTCACCTAAAAAACTAGTTCCATTTTTTTATTATTAGAACAGAAAAGAGGTATTTTAGATTAAATCCGGGAGCTCTCTTGTCCTTCATAAACAGCATGGGTCCTGAGATGTTCACAGTAAAGAAAGATTACCAAAAACATAGTCAAAGCATTCCATGTGACATCAGTTATTCAAAGCTAATCATGCGAAGCCCCAAGAACACTTTTGTGCATCAAATAAACTGCAAATAAATACTTTTGTTGAGTTAATAGTGCAATACATAAGTATCACATTTCCCATAGTAAATGGGCACACTGACCTGATGCAGAAGAGAAGACATGGCCAAATAAAAAAAACAATTAATGCTTTCTCCAGGAAAATATAATAGGAAATTTAGAAAAATCTCTTTGCAATTTTAAATATTTATTACCTTAAATATTTAAAGAATCAAAATTTAACAGGAGGGCTAATCATTTAGTCTTCAGCTTCAGTATGTATAACTTTATCCATAAATACTGTACATGGGTCAAAAGATTTGTATGATTATAGTTAAACCACTGAAGATACATGGAATGTTTACACAATGTTTTCTGGACTTTAAACATCTCAAGACCATTGCTGTCAAGTAAGGATGAGGAAGGAGTTCTCAGATTTCATCTTCTTTCATTCATTTTACTTCAGCTTAGTCCCGTATTTATCAGGGGTCACCACAGTAGAATGAACCACCAACTATTCCAGCATAGGTTTTATGCAGCGAATGCCCTTCCAGCCGTAACCCATTACTGGAAAACCCATACACTCTCACTTTCACAGAGAAAACATGCAAACTCCACACCAAACTGGCCCAGCTAGGGCTCGAACCAGCAACCTTGTTACTGTGAGGCGATGGTGCTGACCACTGAACCACCGTGCCACCCAGATTTCATCTTTAATGTCTTAATTTGAGTTCCAAATATGAACGAAGGTCTCTTCAAATTACAATTACATGTGAGTGAGTATTTAATAACATAGTTTTTTATTTTTGCGTGGACTAAGACTTTAACATCTTACCACAGAAATTCCCATCTACCACATCCTGAATGCTCGGATCACCTTCGGGAACCTGAATGGTTGTGAAGAAGGTGGTTTGCCACGAGTGGAGACCGAAGTTGAAGGACAGAAGGAGAGTCCCAGGACAGAGACACCCTCTCCAGGCAGCGACTCTTCCAGTGTGTCGAGCTCCAGCTCCACAAGTAAGAATCAACCCGGCTTTTCAATGTAATTGTTTGAAGCCATTTAAGATGATGATTAGATTAAGAAATATGGTGTTACAAAGTAATAACGTGTCCAGACAAAGCCCTTGCCATTTTTAATGGCCAAAGAATAATTGATTGGATAAATGTTTAATGATTGCATTCCTTATAGTGCTGCTTGTAGTACAAATGTAACTCAGATGCGCTAATCAATACATCTGACTACCAAAATCTGCTTTGGCCTCCATTCATTTGTCTAATATATAGACTCATGCCGTGGAGGAGAGATTCCAGCTTGTGTGTTCGAGGCTCCTCGAGGCTACAGCATTTTAGGAGGAAACCAAAGGGAGAACATTAGAGAGGAGGAGGATGATCTGCTACAGTACGCCATCCAGCAGAGTCTGATAGAGGCCGGATCAGAGTACGACCAGGTCTGAGATACTGTCACACACTCCCGCATTGTTAATAGATGGACAAAGTTGTCCACAAACTACAGAAATACATTATTATGAGGCTATTTCGTCTGAGAAAAAAGGTCCTAAGGGTCTCGTCTCTTTTATCTATGCCAAGTTGTTACAGCTGATGGCTGGTAATATTCGCAGAATAAAATCTAAGTGGGAAAAAGACTTGGAGTGTTCATTAACAGATGACGAATGGGAAACAATACTGTATATGAAAAAAGCTCAGACTTTTTCTATCAATATTCGTCATAAACTCATCCAATTTAAAGTGATACAAAGAGTTTACTACAGTATACTCCAGTTAGATTGCACTCTTTTAAAAGCTTCTACCCAGAGCTAGATGTAAAGCCTAGATGTAAAGCCTAAGCTTTGTCCTAGATGTAAAGCAGAAAGAGGGACTCTCCTACATATGCTGTGGCTTTGCCCTGAAGAATATTGGAACGAGGTCTTAGAGTTTATTGCCATAGTTGTTGGTACTTATATACCTAGAGAGCCTAGACTTACCCTATTAGGAGATACTACACTACTTGATTAACAAAGAATTAATCTGAGATTTTTTAGACTAGCCCTACTACCAGCTATAAAATGTATAACTTTGAGATGGAAGGATTCTAAACCACCGTCTACTTCCATGTGGATTAAAGAAGTGTCATCTTATATGGCTTTAGAAAAAAATGAGTTTCGCTTGAAAAAGAGGCAAGATTTGTTTGTCAGATTCTGGGGCAGCTTCATTTATTACTTTGGTGTAACAGGACAGAATGCTTAAAATTGGACTTTTTTATGTTTTATTCATCTTTTTTATTTTATTGGTTTATTTGTGGCACTAGAGGTTGGAGCTTTGAGACATGTATAGGGTGGAATGTGTGGGGATGAAAGATCTAAAGAAAGTAGGGCCCACAAGCCAAAGTTGGCCCATTGTAACCTTTGATTTGGCCCCAGGAAAGCAAGTATAATGAAGAGGGTTGGGGCGAATTACTTTAACACAGAGATCATGATTTCTAAACTGACGTAACCTTTTTTGTTTGTTTTATTGCTGAGCTACAAAAAAGCTAACTAAAATTAAACATTTCAATTAAATATAAATTAATCTGAATATTTAAAATGTAAATACTGTCACTCGACAGATTGAGGACTATGAAGACATCAGCAATCAAATCAAGGCAGAAAACTAGTTTAATTCTGTTATGAATTAGTTTGTTTTGTTTAAACATTATTAAATTAACTTGGAAATTACCCATGGTAAACTACCTCACCTATATTTACCTTAGGCCCACTAGTCTCATTGAGGTTTTGGTTTTTGGCCCTTCATAAGAAAGGGTTGGGGCACCTCTGATTTAGATTATTCTGTACTGTGTATTATTTTGGGTTTAACTTGGGAAAAAAACTCAATAAACAATGTTAAAAAAAGAAATACCTAATTACTTAATAATAAGCCATAAAGTAATTTTTCGTTTTTTACCAAAATTCAAAAATGCTGCTAACAGTAATAAATGCTTTATTCTGAGAATATTCGAGGTTCAGTGGACAGCTTGGTGGTGCTAGATTTGATGACAACTACAGTAAATTTGGATTCTTTATTTCAAGAGTTTTTTTTAAGGGTTAAGGTCTCTATGAAATTTGTTTGTAATGCTATGTTTTTGCTGAACATTTCCATTTAGTTTTAGGAGTATATTTACAGTTTCAAAATATTTTTTTAAATCAGCCTTGAAGTGGGAGATATTAGGCTTCCTCTGCGACTATTTACACTTGCGTTTACGAAACTTCCCTTATAATATCAAAAGATTAACATAAACAACAGATTCTTATCTGTATCTTTTTTTATCTACATAAAATATGGCATCTCTTTTCTTTTTATTAATTTTATGACCACTCGGTATATTAAATAGACATTCAACATCAAAACACAAATAATTTAAAAAAACAAGTTCACAACAGTCTCAACAACCATTCCGCGAAAAACACAAGATTCAGAAATATCAACTTTATATCTCTTGAGAAAATGGTTGGTGGGAAACTTAATGTATAATTTTAAAGTAGATTTCACAACAGAAGTCCCTTCATTTCTACAGTGCTGCATCAATGCTGTATTTTGTTGGCAAATTATGTTTGCTTCTGCCTATTTACAATTCCTGCAGTATCCTTTTCTTGCAAATGTAATCTTTGAATTGCAATGACCTTTTTTATACTGTGGTAAAAAGTCTTCTATACAATAATCATGTGAACGTTTTAAGACCAAAAACATGTTAAGAAGGGACTTCATGAATATTTAATGATAATATGTATACTTGTTTCCCAAGTTTGGCCTACAGAAAAGCATAATCACTGCAGCACTCCATAGCCACTGTTTACATTACAACTGTTCCTTTGCTCATGGTCAGGGGTGTTCAAACTTATACCATTGTCCTGCAGAGTTTTTTTTACAAGTTTCCTCATCACTCATGTCTCGAAATATGTAGTGTGCCTTCTAAGATCTTGATTAGTTGGTTCTGGTGTATTTAAGATTAAATATGCAGGGCCGTGGCATTTCAGGTGTAGGACTGGACACCCCTGGCGTAATGTGTGTACCTTAGGGTGAAAAAATCTCCATAAAGTTTTTCAAACATACCTGATATCCCTCTGTTTCCCCTCTCAGGTGACAATCTGGGAGGCTTTGACCAACAGTAAGCCTGGAACACATCATCTGTCCTGTGACCCCAGTCGGCACGAAAGGTCTGCAGTCAGTATTCCTCTTCTACCATCTCCTGTAGTCATATTTCATCCACAATAGACAGGGACAGCATCACACTCTCATCACATTTACTGGAGCTATTGACTCAGGCATGGCTGTCAATATAGCCTGGGTAAAGCTCATAGAAATTCATCTCTCTCTCTCTCTCCTCACCTCCACTTGCTCTTCAAGAAGTTTTAATGCAGGCTGAGAAGCCCTGTCTGAGGCAGATGACATGAATGTGAAACAGTTGCTTCAGGTCTTTATTCCTTAAGGTTACAGTTTAAGTACAGTATGTCTCCATGTACAGTGGCGCAAAAACGTGTTTAGTCAGCCACCAATTGGGCAAATTCTCCCACTAAAAAAGGAAGCTGATCTGACATCAATTTATTGTATGGAACACATCTGTCAATCAGCGCTCATACATGCATTCACTGGTTCAGAAGTTGTGTATGAAAGGTGATGATTAACGCACAGCTTTAATGTAAAGAAAGTGGGATAGAATGGTAAAATACGGGAGAATTTCGGCAAAAACGTGAGGGTTTACATGAATGAAGTGAAAAAGAAGTGTTTGTGGGCAAACAGTTTTGTGAGATAACGCAAAACATCTTTATGAGGGGACGCAAAAACCTTATTAATATGTTTTCCTATCACTCAGTTTTTTTTTTCTCCCACCCATCCGTCCCTTCCGGGTCTCCGTAAGTATTTGGTCAATAACAAAATTACATCTCTTTGTTAATACTTTGTTAAATACCCTTTGTTGGCAATGACAGAGGTCAAACACTTTCTGTAAGTCTTCACAAGGTTTTCACACATTGTTGCTGGTATTTTGCCCCTTCCTCCTTGCAGATCTCCTTGAGAGCAACAATGTTTTGGGGCTATCACTGGGCAGCATGTACTTTCAACATTTTTCAAAGATTTTGACCCCACGGGGTGAGATCTTGAGTGAAGCCTCAGATCGAGGGAGATTATCAGTGGTCTTGTACGTCTTCCATTTTCTAATAGTTGCACCAAGCTGCTTACCTATTGCAGATTCTGTCTTCCCAGCCTGGTGCAGGTCTACAATTTTGTTTCTTATGTTCTTTGACAGTTCTTTGGTCTAGGCCATAGTGAAGGTGGAGTGTTACTGTTTGAGGTTGTGGACAGGTGTGTTTTAAACTGATAACAAGTTTAAACAGATGCCATTAATACAGTTAATGAGTGGAGGACAGAGGAGCCTCTTTACACTGTCAGGTCTTGATTTTGTAGCTTGTCCATTTACACGTTCTTTTAATAGTGACCCATATCCGATTCACGTGTTTACACTTGCCGTGCAATTTATGATGTCACGCATGCGTAAAGGCAGGTTCTAGCGTCTACGCCACACTAGCCATGATGGAAGAAATTGTCTTGCTTTTAGCTCTGCAAAATGTGTGTAGTTCACCCAACTTTAAAATGATTTTGAGGCGAAGGCGGAACTAAAAGGGCCATCATTGCAGCTTGCGCCTATGGTTTATATATGGTGTTCTCCACCATTCAGAGGAATTTGTGGATATGAGAGAGATCTCAGGTCTGGTGGGAGCAAATTGTGGGGACTGACGACTTTCCATCTCCATGTTTCCCGTGTTGATGTTGTTTACTGCGTCAGCGTCTCCACACACGCTATTGCTTTTTTGTTATTGACCAAATACTTAATTTACAGAGAAATTTACCAATTAAATCATTAAAAAAATATAATGTGATTTTCAGGTTTTTTACTAATTTTTTCTTTCGTAGTTGAGATATACCTATGATTAATATTACAAGCCTTTCATCTTTTTAATTGGGAGAAATTTTTGGCACAATTGGTGGCTGATTAAATACTTTTTTGCTCCACTGTAGTTAGGTGGGTACATATATAGGTATTTTTTATAAGTGCTGTTTAACAGAGAGATTTTTTTCAACACATTTTTCAACATAATAGTTTTAACAACAAATTTTAAATAACTCATTTTGTCTTCGCCATGATGAAAGTGTGTCATATTTTATAAGATGATAGTATTTATTTAGCTTAAAGTGCAATTTGAAGGCTTAACTAGGTTAACTAAGCAAGTTGGAGAAATCAGCCAAATCATTGGACAACTGTGGTTCCCCTTCGGGGGGAACTCCAGCACTATAAGTGGATTTGATTGTAAAATCCACGCATTGGGAGGTTCGGTTCAGAAGCTACTCGTCTGAAAGAGTATTGAACGGGCCAATTAAGAATGAATTGGCAGCGCAAGCCTGCGCAGGTGAGCGGCATAAGCAATCAACTGAGTATATAAGCTCACCTGGCGCCAGCAGACGCTATCCTTTTCGCTTCAGAGCCTTTTCTGATCGAGCTTATGAGGGTTCCTCCTGCTGATCTACAGCCATTCGAGAGAACGATTTTCATCCCGGTCCAGAGCGAGTCCACGCAGCGGCAGACGGTCGAGCTGGGTATCTCCCTTGCCTGGCGTCCCTTTGGGTCCGGTCCTCCAAGAGCGGTGCGTATTGTTGCAAATCCTAAAAGAGCAACACAGTCGTGCAGCATGTCCTTTTCAGGATGGCGCTCCGACTGTGCGTTTCTGGTTGCGGGGGTTTCCTGGCTCCGGATGATGGACACGATCACTGCATTACATGTTTGGGGGTCCAGCATGTTAATGTGGTGCTCGGGGGCGGTTCATGTCGTCACTGCGATGCCATGACCGTTGCGCAGTTGAGATCGCGGTTAGCTTTCGTAAGAGAGCGAGCCACCCCAGTTGCCTCCTGTTCTGCAGCGGGCGCTCGGGCAGATCTGAGGGCTTCAGCGAAAGACAATCCGCCGCTCCACGGGCTCGCGGACCTCTCGCTCCTCCAAGCGCTCCATCAAAGCTTCGGGTACTGAGAGTGATCCGTCTAATCAGATGGTAGCTCTCACGCTCGCTGACACCGGAGATCAGATGTCCTCCGCGGCATCGGAGGGCGGGCTTTCATTGTCCGACGATGATCCGGACCCGCTCGCCCCCTCTGGGCAAGCGAGCGCCGTCAAAACGGATCCTGAAGCGGACATGTTGGCCGTGCTTTCTCGGGCTGCTTCGGCCGTCGGGTTGGAGATGGTTTATCCCCCAGCCCCGCGGCCGGACCGACTAGATGGGTGTTACGTAGAGGATCAGAAGGCGAAGCCTTCGAAGCCTCTCGTCCCCTTCTTCCCGGAAGTGCACAGTAGGCTTACGCAGTCCTGGAGGGCACCTTTCTCTGCCCGCGCTGCGTCCGCCTCCGCCCTCACCACCCTGGATGGTGGAGCTGCCAGGGGGTATGAGGCGATCCCGCAGGTGGAGCGCGCCATTGCGGTCAATCTTTGTCCGCGTGGCGCCCCCGCTTTGCGTGGTCCGCCCCGTCTCCCGTCCAAAGCCTGTAAGTTTTCTGCCTCCCTCGGAGCTAGAGCTTACAAGGCTGCGGGCCAGGCAGCTTCCGCCTTGCATGCGATGGCCACCTACCAGCGCTACCAAGCGCAGGCGCTGGCTGAGCTGCACGAGGGTGGGTCTAACCCAGGCTTGTTACACGAGCTGCGTACGGCGACCGACTATGCTCTCCGGACCACTAAGTCCGCCGCCTGCACACTGGGGAGGACGATGTCCACACTTGTGGTCCAGGAACGCCACCTCTGGCTAAACCTGGCAGATATGCGCGATGTCGACAAAGTTCGCTTTCTTGACGCGCCCATATCCCAGGCTGGCCTGTTCGGCGACACCGTCGGTGAATTCACCCAGGAGTTCAAGGCGGTGAGCGAGCAGTCGGATGCGATGGGCAGAGTCATCTATCGGCGGGGCCGTAAGCCCGCTCCATCCCCGGCCGAGCCATCCACCTCCGCTGTTCCTCGCCGAGGGCGCCCGCCAACGGCCGATGCCCCGCCCCCGCCTCCGCCTCCGGCGAAGCGAGCGCGTCGAGCACGCCGAAAGCCGGTAGCCCCTCCTGCCCAGGGCGCCGCTAAGTCCGGTAAACGGACCGCGAAGCGTCCCTGAGACAGGCCATCCGGAGAAGAGGAGACTTGCTCTTTCCCCGCTGGAGGGCGGGGCCCAAAATCCAACGGTACTTTTCAGTGCCACCAAAGTTTCGATCAAAGAGCATTTTCTCCCTTCCCCGGATGTGACAGCTCAAGCCCCGCCAGTCTGGGACGCGCTGCCTCTCAGCTCGCAGGGCTTGCATGCTCCGCCAGCGGCTCTCGGGCGCTGGGGGGACGGTCTCCCTTCTCCCAGCCCCCAAGCCCCCTCTCAGGAGTCAGGGTGCGGAGCCAGAGCGAAACGCTCTCCTCCAGCTCTTCTGTGGGACCCTCGCGCTCCCCGGATCAGCACACCCGCTCCTCGCTGCCCCTCCGCGGGTACGTCAACGATTGCTGCGATGACGTCATTAGCGAGGGCTCTGCCTGCTTGGTTAGCGCGGGCCAGCCCCTCGCGGTGGCTCATACGCACGATCAGACTCGGCTACGAACTACAGTTCTCCAAACGGCCTCCCAGGTTTACAGGCGTGTATTTCACCAGGGTCAATCCCCTGTCCGCCCCTGTCTTGCGAGAGGAGATTGCTGCCCTCCTGGCGAAGGGTGCAATCGAGCCGGTGCCTCCAGCCGAGATGGAGAGCGGGTTTTACAGCCCGTTCTTCATCGTACCCAAAAAGAGCGGTGGGTCACGGCCAATCCTAGATCTGCGCGTTTTGAATCGCTGCCTTCACAAGCTGCCGTTCAGAATGCTTACGCAGAGGCGCATCCTCCGATGCGTTCGTCCTCAGGATTGGTTTGCAGCCATAGACCTGAAGGACGCGTATTTTCATGTCTCCATTCTTCCACGCCACCGTCAGTTTCTGCGGTTTGCGTTCGAAGGTCGAGCATGGCAGTACAAGGTCCTCCCCTTCGGGCTCTCTCTGTCTCCGCGGGTCTTCACCAAACTCGCGGAGGGTGCCCTAGCGCCTCTGCGGCTTGCGGGCATCCGCGTACTCAATTATCTCGACGACTGGCTGATTTTAGCCCACTCTCGGGAGCAATTGACTGCGCACAGAGACGAGGTGCTCCGGCATCTCCGCCTATTGGGGTTGCAGGTCAACTGGGAAAAGAGCAAACTCGCCCCGGTGCAGAGGATCTCTTTTCTCGGGATGGAGCTGGACTCGGTCACCATGGTAGCGCGCCTCTCCGGAGAGCGCGCTCGCCTGCTGCTGAACTGTCTGAGGGAGCTCGACAGCAAGTTAGTGGTCCCACTGAAATATTTTCAGAGGCTCCTGGGGCATATGGCTTCCGCTGCGGCCGTCACGCCGCTCGGATTGCTCCATATGAGACCACTTCAGCACTGGCTTCAAGATCGAGTTCCGAGACGCGCATGGCATGCGGGCACACACCGAGTCTCTGTTACTGCGCTGTGTCGCCGCACCCTCAGCCCCTGGAACGACCCCTCGTTCCTGCAGGCCGGTGTGCCTCTGGGACAGGCGTCCAGTCATGTTGTTGTTTCGACAGATGCTTCCAGCACAGGCTGGGGAGCCGTGTGTCGCGGGCATGCAGCTGCGGGCCTGTGGGTAGGTGCCCAGCTGCATTGGCACATCAATCGCCTAGAGCTGTTGGCAGTGTTCCTTGCTCTCCGCCGTTTTTCTCCGGTGCTGGGGCAGCAACACGTGCTGGTCAGGACGGACAGTACGGCGGCGGCGGCGTATATCAACCGCATGGGGGGTATGCGCTCTCGCCGCATGTCTCAGCTCGCCCGCCGTCTGCTCCTCTGGAGTCACCCGCGGCTGAAGTCGCTGCGCGCCATTCACATCCCAGGTATGCTCAACCGTGCAGCCGATGTGCTCTCACGGCAGCAGATTCACTCTGGAGAATGGAGACTCCACCCCGAGTCTGTCCAGCTGATATGGGCGCGATTCGGGGAGGCCCAGATCGATCTGTTTGCTTCCCCCGAGAACGCTCATTGCCAGTTGTTTTATTCCCTGACCGAGGGCTCTCTCGGCACGGATGCACTGGCCCACAGCTGGCCTCGGGGCATACGCAAGTATGCGTTTCCCCCAGTGAGCCTGATCGCGCAGTTAATGTGCAAGGTCAGGGAGGACGAGGAGCAGGTTTTGTTAGTTGCGCCCCTCTGGCCCAACCGAACCTGGATATCAGAGCTCTCCCTCCTCGCGACGGCCCTCCCTTGGCAGATCCCTTTGAGAGAGGACCTACTTTCTCAGGGACAAGGCACCGTCTGGCACCCTCGTCCCGATCTCTGGAACCTCCACGTGTGGTCCATAGACGCGAGGAAGACTTAGGTAACCTGCCGCCCGCGGTGGTTGATACCATCACTCAGGCTAGAGCCCCCTCCACGAGGCGCGCCTACGCCCTGAAGTGGAGTCTATTCACTGAGTGGTGTGTCTCTCGCAGAGAAGACCCCCGATCTTGCCAGATCAGTGTTGTGCTCTCTTTCCTTCAAGAGAAGCTGGACAGCAGGCTGTCGCCCTCCACTCTCAAGGTTTACGTTGCTGCCATCTCCGCTCACCATGACGCGGTGGCTGGCAGCACCGTGGGAAAGCATAACCTCATCATCCGGTTCCTCAGAGGCGCTAGGCGAATTAATCCAACTCGCCCCCCTCTCACGCCCTCTTGGGATCTCGCCCTCGTTCTTACGAGCCTGCGATTTGATCCCTTCGAGCCACTCGATACAGTATCTTTAAGATTTCTGTCCCTGAAGACAGCTCTGCTGGTCGCGTTGGCCTCCATTAAGAGGGTCGGGGACCTGGAGGCATTTTCGGTCAGTGACTCGTGCCTGGAATTCGGGCCGGGATTTTCTCACGTTATTCTGAGACCCCGCCCGGGTTATGTGCCCAAAGTTCCTACCACTCCTTTTAGAGATCAGGTGGTAACCCTGCAAGCGCTGCCCCCGGAGGAGGCAGACCCAGCCCTGTCATTACTTTGTCCAGTTCGCGCTCTGCGCATTTATGTGGACCGTACTCAGAACTTTAGATCTTCTGAGCAGCTCTTTGTCTGTTATGGCGGACGGCAGCAGGGAAGTGCCGTGTCTAAACAACGTTTATCCCACTGGATTGTGGAGGCCATTTCTTGTGTTATTTGAGCAGAGGCCAGCCGCGCCCCCCAGGAGTGCATGCGCACTCCACTCGGAGCGTTGCATCCTCTTGGGCGTGTGCGCGTGGCGCCTCTTTAGCAGACATTTGTAGAGCTGCGGGCTGGGCGACACCCAACACATTTGCAAGATTTTATAATCTGCGAGTGGAGCCGGTTTCCTCAAGGGTGTTAGGTACCTTTGGTGATTGAGGAAACAACTCGGTAGGTGTTGTACACGCTTGCGGTGCCTTTTTTTCCCTAACACGGAGAGATGTGCACCCTCCTGTCTGTCAGTAAAGTTCCCCATTCGGTGAGCCCTGCAGATTCCTCCGAGGCCCCCAGCACTGACTCAGCGGAGGAGTCACTTGCTGGCCCATTACGTAGTAGGTCTGCCCGCTGGTCAGCCCGCGTTTTGGGTATAGGTGCCTGCTATGACCAATCCCCGCTGGTGATCCCCATATGCTTTTCCGCCACGGTTAAGTTCCCCCCCTGGGCGGACCCGTGCTTTCCCTATCTGCTAACCACCTTCTTATGCGCACTCCCCCTTTTCAGGGTTAGTCCATATGTAATTCCATTGTTCCCCCTATTGGGTGCGGATGGTCTCCGCAGCGTCCTCCCTACTGGGATGGCACGCTTCCCAACGTACTGTCGTGTATTCCTAGAATTATCTAGACGCTAGCGACTCCCAAAAAAGATACCTATTCCGTAAAACTTCTTTTGAAGTAGGATAAGTTAGGGCCAAGGGCACGTTGGAGGACCACGCCTCTCGTGATCTGGGTGCGTCACGCTTGCCTGACCGCTCTCTCATGGTGGGTGTTGGTAAGGTGCAGTCATTATGGCGCTTTCAATGGGCTCCCAATGCGTGGATTTTACAATCAAATCCACTTATAGTGCTGGAGTTCCCCCCGAAGGGGAACGTTCGAGGTTACTAAAGTAACCCTTCGTTCCCCGAGGAGGGGAACGGAAGCACTATACTCCGTCGCCATAATGACTGTCCCTTAACTGTTAAAAGTCTCTTCAGCTTAAAAAGGATAGCGTCTGCTGGCGCCAGGTGAGCTTATATACTCAGTTGATTGCTTATGCCGCTCACCTGCGCAGGCTTGCGCTGCCAATTCATTCTTAATTGGCCCGTTCAATACTCTTTCAGACGAGTAGCTTCTGAACCGAACCTCCCAATGCGTGGATTTTACAATCAAATCCACTTATAGTGCTTCCGTTCCCCTCCTCGGGGAACGAAGGGTTACTTTAGTAACCTCGAACGTTTGTCCTGTAGCCAATAAGATAGAAAATACTAATAAAAAAGAGACTAATAATGTTGACCCTAAAATTGTTTTTAAAACAATGTCACATTTTAGTTTTTATTCTAGCCAAAATAAAAGAAATCAAACTTTCTTTGAAAGAAAAAGGAATCTTGTAAAAATGCTGTTAAACAACAATTAAGGAATATTTAGGAAAATAATTCAACTATCACAGGAGCTAATCACAGGCTAAATAGTTTGCCTTGTAGATGTTTTATTTTTATAGTCAAAATGACTAAATGAATAGCAGAAGTCTCAGTCACTTATTCTCTACTCCATTACCCAGAACCCCACAGCACAAAGCCAGTCCCGTGGAGAGCCCTCGCAGCACACCTACCAATAAACCACCGTGCAGCTACGACGAGCAGCTCCGTCTTGCCATGGCCCTGTCTGCCCGAGAGCAGGAAGAGGCGGAGCTTCGCCAAAGACGAGAAGAAGAGGAACTGCAGCGTATCATACAGCTGTCACTCATGGAGAAGTGACAGAGCTTTTGGGAACCAAGGGGTGGGAGAGCATGCCTGGGATCTGAAACCAACGTGAACTATGATTGGCCGCTCCCAAAAGCCCCACCCCCCTCTTCTTCCAAAGAACTGCATAAAACGGGCTGCTCTCTGGTCCAACAAGTCTTTCAGAATCACAGAGAAACCTTCACTCTGCAAGTTTACAACACAAACTACTAAACTCATGGCAATCCACGGACTGATCAGTCTCCTACTGTGTGAATGTGCATTTATGACTGAGACGGTCTGCACTGCGTATCTTGGCGTCATTTTTGAAAGTCATCATCCAAGCACTGGCCAGTTCTCAGTGGTGGGTTTGAGTTCTGGGGGATTTGTGTCACTTTTTTAATTTTGCAATATGGATGTAAAGAACTTTAGTTCTGGTTGTTAATACACACAAAAATACACTGCACTTGGTTTGTGGAGCTGTAATGTCTCCTAACAGAAGGAGCACATGGGCACATTTCTTGATGGAAATGCTGCATTCATATAAAAAATGCAGAAAATGACGGCGTTATACAACCATACGTTGCTTACTAATACTTAAAAACAAAAATAACATTTAAATTCAAACTAAACATGCACAGAAATATGATCCAAGTTAGTTAGTCGATTGGCAGAAGTAAAACGACAATGCTCTCTCTTATAATAGGAGGTGCTTATGGAAAAGCACAGCACTTTTCCACAAGGTATGGTCTAGCGTCAGAGAAGTTCAGTGGTCTAGTCTTCGGACAAGTAAACCTGTGATGTCAGTAGGCAGAGCTTCCACTACACTAAGTTTTGTTATCGCCACATTATTGATAACGTGATTGGTCTGGCATCCTGAGCCCATCCTGAGCGAATGCCACCTGCAGAATGTTTCATGTTCTGGAGTCAGACTCTGTCTTCAGCCCGTTCTCTATAGCAGAGGTCCCCCAGGTCATGATCTAATAGGCCACAAGAATGTAAAATGACTATATGCAATGACACTGTATTATTTATTATTATTTATTATTTATTCATTTCCCCCTTAAGAGCTCATATCCACATTTATATCAGGCTTGATTCTACATGTTTAAGTTCAGCAAAAAACAACAACAACAAAAAAGCTGCAACATTGAAAGCCAACTTTAGATTGATGATGATTCTTAGTAAAACACAGTTTAGTCTCAGAGACCCAATGAAATCTATGAAAACTAGGAGCCTGGAGTGGAATTGTCAATGGGAATGGAGTACATTTTGTTTTCACTCCCTTGCTGATTCTTTTTGAATTCCACCAAGTAAATAACAGCATCGCATATCTTAAGCCCTGTTTACTCCTGACACTAAGATGCATTTCCAGTGATCCAATCTCAAGTGGTCAGCTGAGACACATTACCATTTACACCTGCTCTTAAAATGCATTTTAAATGCGTCTCATGTGACCACATGTATTGATTACAATTAAATAAAGCCATTTTCTTGCTTACAAGAGAGAGTGGAACAAACAGATTCAGATTGTAATTTGATTTTGTTTGCAACCCATGGGATTTGGTACAACACTAAAAATGTGTCATTATATGTTTTGATGCACTCTCACGTGCAAAAAGTATGATGGAAAAGAGAAACTAAAGAAACATCGCACTGCCATCTTGTAAAGCAGTGTTTCTCGAACCACGTTCCTGGAGGACCACCAGCTCTGCACATTTTCCATGTCTCCTTAACCCAGGTGGGTCCAACTTGCCTTAACACACCTGCAAGGATGCTTCTAGAAAGCCTGGTAAGAATTCCATTAGCTAGCCCAGGTGTGTCTGATTGGGGTTGGAACTAAATTTTGCAGGACACCCGCCTCCAGGACCGAGTTTGGACATGCCTGATGTGTGGATGATTGAAATGGCTCATAGTAATTAAGCAACAAAACGATCTGTTACTGAGGAAGTATGTCCCAGTGTTTGCATACTCTTCTGTTACACACTCAAAAGTATATATTTTTCCTTCACAAAAAAGTAAATACTTCTAGCGCGTAATATAAGTATGCGAATTGAGACGCAGCGCCTGTCTCCCTAACCAAACACACCTGATTCAGATCATCAGCTCATTAGCAGAGACTGAAAGACCTGTAATGGGTATGACAAAGAAGACATCTTAAACATGAAGTGTTGGTGGTCCTCCAGGAACGTGGTTGAGAAACACCGTTTGCAATGCATTAAAACATTATTTTCCAGCCACAACCGCACTTCATTCTTGAAATGTGTAGTTTGTCTAAAGTGATGTATACAAACTATATAGTATACTTTGACCAGGGACACAATCAGCCAGCGCAGTCGTCCTTCCATATTAAAAAGCCACATTTTGTGTCTGCCGGTTTGTTCACTTGTGGGAGTTCCATTGACATTGTCCCGCACGTTAATTCTGACCAATCAAAAAGCAGTTTAGGAAATACGTTCAGTAACATCTGGCCAATGAGAGATGTGGATTTTGTCACATGACTGCATTTTGGTTCTTTTCAACTGATTCGGACCAAAGTAATCAGTGTCTTATATGCATTCAGCCCTGCTGAAAAATCCAGCTCAAACCAGTTTAGGCTGGTTGGCTGGTTTTAGCTGGTTGACCAGCCTGGTTTTAGAGGGGTTTTGGACATTTCCAGGCTGGTTTCCAGCCATTTCCAGCCTAGTCTTAGCTGGTCAGGCTGGAAAATTACAAGCCAAATCCAGCTAAAACCAGCTTGACCAGCCTGGTTTAAGCTGGATATAGCTGGTTTTAGCTGGACTCCCAGCTTGGCTAGGCTGGTCAAGCTGGTTTTAGCTAGTCATCTCTCAGCCTGACCAGCTAAGACCAGGCTGGAAATGGCTGGAAACCAGCCTGGAAGTGGCCAAAACCCCTCCAATACCAGCCTGGTCGACCAGCTAAAACCAGCCAACCAGCCTAGGCTGGTTTAAGCTGGATTTTTCAGCAGGGTGGTGAGAAAAGGACCCAAAAATGGCAGAAAAATGCTATAATGTAACATTTGATGACCAAATGAGCCGAACCACAGATGTGAAAGCACCCTTGGAGTGAACAGATATTAATATGATCTTTTCACATTCTCAAATCCAATTTTGGATCAGGACAGTTTTAAGAGGCTGGATCACAGAGGATGCTAGGGGGTCCAGAAACCATAGAGTTGCCTCCATCTATTCTCTACTAGTTTTTTTAAGTGTATAAACGCCCTAGCAGGACCATCATTGGCATTATTATTATTTTTTTAATTATTAACCAGACTGAATATTGAAACACTGGAGAAATTATTCCACTGGTGCAACTGGCAGTTATTAAAACTGAATAGGAACCAAACAAGCCATCTTTAGATAAACATAATAACTTACGAGCTGGTGATTCCGTTGAACCTAATTAAAATCATCGCAATATTCCTCATTTCTGTCCCAAATTTCACATTGACTCATGGATACGTTAATCAGTGTAATTGTCATGACATGCATTCATCCGTCTGTTCAATCGCTTGACAACATGGTTTCTTTCTCGCCCTCCGTTCAGCGCTTCCTTCAGCATTACCATCAGAGCTCATAGTCTCATGACTGGAACACCTGCGGTAGCTAATCAAAAATCTAATTGTGCTTTCATAGGGGCGCCAGTTCTGGAATAAAACATGAAAGGAGGAATCACTCACCGAGATAATGCCCCGAGCCGAGACCAAGCGGAAAGTTTTATTGGAGAATCTTAAAATAGACGTTTTCTCCTTAGTCAGATTTATTCCGGGCCTGAGTGACGTGCCCTCAGGGTTTGACGTATCAGGTAAATCTGAAACACAAATTAGGAAACATGGCCATACACCGTGTCTGAAAAGATTCAAAAAGCACAAGGGACTGAGCGTCAGTTTTTCAAAGGAAACAGATCTGATGGCGGCGTCTGGAGACGGCTATTAATTAATGAACTCGTGATTGTGCGACTCGTGAATGCCTGGATTCAGTCATTAAGAAATGCTTGATATGACTCGACGTTTTAGTATAACATATTATAAAAGCATTATTTATATTTAACCTTTTTCATTTGAATTTGGTTGGCGCTGTGGTTTGTGTGGAGTACTGCTGTCGTGTTTGTGTGTCGGAAATATATTGTTCACATTTGTAACTTAAAGGAATTCTGAATAAATGATAAGAGATCTATGTGTTGACTTCTCAAGTGTTATTATTGAATGGGTCATCAACTTTCCATGTTGTGCTTGATAATATTAGTTTAGTTTAGTTTATTTAAATTTGACAGGACAGCTATTCCAGCCCTGAAATGCGTCAAACACACACTCCAATCAATATTTGACTAATAAAGATACTACACTCTAAAAATGTTGAGTAATTTATTTGACCCAATGGTTGATTTAAAATATATATCCTGCTTTGTTGGGTTATTTTAACCTTTATAGGGTATATGCAGAAGGACTTCAAATTTGTCCGCAGCCTGGGTCAAACGCTTCTGGTAACTGTAAGCCGTTACAAAATTGGTGGGTTTAAGGTCTGTTTTCTTTAAAAATCAACAATCTACACTGCCTTAAGAATATACGCTATACAGCTGGTCTTAGAATGTACAAGAAGCACTATTTTTTTCTGCACCATGTCTTTAAAATATATTAATGTATTGTACTCCAGTGTTTTTTCTTAACACGGCTGCTGTTCCTGACGGGCGCACTCATAAATGGCTTTTCATCTCAGCTTACGCTTGAACAACTAAATGCTGAAGTCTAATTACCTAATTGCATTTTAAGTATATCACAACATTGATGCTGTTAAAAGAGCTGTATAAAATTGAATAAATAAATAAATAAATCACATTAACTGGGTAGAAACACTAGCTCAGCACATACCCTTATAGGGGAATTATCAATCTACGTCACACATGATGTCATACGGGTTCAACCGCGCATACCAGTTGCAAAAAAAGACCGGTTGCAGTAGCAAACATGTAGTGTTGTGTGGTAGGATGCCAAATTAGAAAGTCAAGGTCCAAAAATAGAAAACTAAAATTTTACCGTACACCACACTGCTTTGAATGCCAACCGCAGATGTATTGGGCTAACAGCCATCATAAGAGCTGAATGGAGTGAGGACCTAATTAAAAATGCTGGACTCTGCAGTTCTCATGTTATATCAGGTAAGTTCACGCTTTGCTGAATCATACACGTTACTCGTTTTTGATTGCAGCAATGATTTCAGCAAAAACAGTAATGGTGAATTAAACTGCAGACATGTAAAACTGTACAATCACATACCCTGCCATACAGGTGCAGTTCGCTGTCAGAATCCAGTTGTGTTGTTGGTTGATGATTACTCAGACTTTGTACAGTTCTTTCCTTGTCTTTGGCTAGGCAGAACCTCGGTTTTTAGCACTACATAGTGTTGAATCTAGTAATCATGGAACATTATTTCTTGCACATGACCACACAGAACAACATTGTTGGCATTCAAAGACTTGTAGGCCTTTAACTTCTCTCTTGTAAAATCACTTGGAGTTTCAGTGAGATAGTTGTATATTTGGGGCTGGATGCTTGGCCATTTTATCTTATCTAATAGGGTGCTATATAGCAAATGGACCTGTCAGACGAACGCCGCTCACTTTAAGATTAATTTTGCCATTATAATATGCTGAAAGCATTATGTAAATAATATATATATAATATGTAATCAATACAACTTATAATCTCTAATACAACAACAAACTCTGTACAGCATCGGATGTCATTTCCTCGCTGTAAATGCTAGCGTTCCTGTTTTTTTCTGCAACCTCGCTGCACGCGGAAACCGGTAATTCGTCTATAGCAGTGGTGGAAAGAGTACTAAAAAATCATAATTAAGTAAAAAAAAACATTACATACCTAAAAATGTAGTAAAAGTAGAGTAAAGGTATGAGTAAAAAGTAAACCTTTCAAAAGTACTCAAGAGTAGTATTATGTTGTAAAAAGCTGATGCGTTTACATGTAATTTGTGGATGTGTGTAACCGTAACATTCTGTAGTGCATGTAGTTATTGCCCAGCG